TGTAAAAATGGCCTGGATAGCATAAGGTAATTGTTTTTAAATTTAAAGTTAAAGTACAGTTTAGAGTTTATTGTAAACTAATTGTAAACCTTGTATACAGAAAATAAAAATGTACTTTAAATCATAATTATATAGCTCTATACTAGAAAGTTTGTCTAGTAAACAACAACCGTTCCTCGCTTAAAAACCTGTATAGGTTGCTTTTCCGTAGATACGATCAATTATTATTTGGCTCATTTAATAATACAAAAGATCTCCTGAAACAGTAGGCAAGGTGGACCCTGAATTCAAAAATACATGCTTGCTAAGCCTATGTTCATCTACTGTCTTTGAACCATATTGTTTATGTAAAGGTTAAGGATACTGTCAAACAATCCTAGATGTGCTAGGCGGAGAAGGGTTTAAATTTGCGACCTGCTGAGTGTATATCGAATGCTTTCATCAATAGACTTCAGTATCCATCTACAACGGTGAAATATCCAGGTAATATTACCAGTATTCACCTGTAAGAGCATGATAACATCTCCTGTTGAAGAGAAGAACTGATGGGTCAATAAAAGAAGTCTTATCATAAACTGACTTAACAAAGACAATACATCATGTCTTTCAGAAGGTCATTTTTTGCTTGGGAACATTACTCTTCATGTGATATATATATATATATATATATATATATATATATATATATATATGCAATCAGATTCCTCAAAGATACGATCAAAACCTTGACGAATCAAAAAGAGAAACACTTTAGTCAATGAGCTTTTCATTTGAAGATGAATCAACTAATTCAGTCTTGTACACAACTGCTTTTTTTATGAATTTTGTTTTTAAGAAAGGTAGCTTTATGAAGCTGAATTAGGCTATAAATATTGTGTTACAATAGATCGTACATTAGAGCATACGTATATAAAAGTAAATAATTGAATTGATCGACGTTATAAGTAGTAATTTTCACATCATTTATGTCCTAGATACTTACAAAACACACGATCAGTAGAGTTCAAAGATCTTTGAAAGAAATACAAAGGAATGACAATATAAGCTGATTTTTTTCTGAATAAGTTAAAAATTATGACTTCATTAATGTTTGTGGTCGATATTACTTGATTCTAACAAGCTAGTAATGAGGTGGGCCATACTTAAAAAGTTTCAACCTTACGTCCTCGCAAACACATGTTTAATCGCCTGTAATAAACAAAAAAATGTTTCATAACATTATATCATATTTCACTTTCAGTATGTGTTAAATCTTTTTTGATCTAATAGTAAGTGAATGTTGAACAACAAAAACCAAGTAGTTGTTAAATTGTTCTCAGTCGATGTTTTCTTATCACTTACGTAAATAATCTTATAACTTTAAACAAAATAAAGATTTTTCAAATGAATATTACCAGTTCGGTGGAAAGATAAGAATATATTTATATAACAAATTAAATTCTGAATTAAATCCAACTGCATAATGCTGCTACAAGGTGTGTTGTAGCACAGGGTTAGTTAATCTAACATTTAAACAATACCGATGAATCAAAAATACACGAAAGTTAGACTGGATAATTTTGAAAAAAATCAGGTGATTAAAACTTTTTTTTAATTGCAGTTCGATTTGTGTACAGAGACAAAAAAGCTAAAATTACCATCTGACGATAGCAAAACAAAATACATTGTTGATCAAAATATTTTTTCAGATATGATTTTAGTTGATTTCATCTCAGTATAAATATCCACCCAAAATGTCTCCAATTTTTATCAAACCAAACATTAATAGTCTCTCATATGATAGTTTGGTAAATAACTTTGTTTATCAATTATGTTTCAAAGGAAATTTATTTTAGAAACTATTTTATGATAAAATAATAATTGTTTAACTGAAACAAAATATTTTGAATAAAGTCCGACTGAGGTAGGAAATAATGATATAACCAAATTAATGATTTTCTTACACTAATCAGTAACCAAAGTATTTTCGGGAAATTATTGGTTAGATTAACTTCTCTTGACATCATTCACCTTGAATGTTGAAACTTTATATCTTCAACTGTTAGTTTCGCAATGCTTCAACGAAAACATAATGGAAAACTTGAATAGTATTTAGATGTAATTAGTTCCCTTACAAATAAGTGGTATATCATAAGCTGACAGCTAAAAGTTTGTTTTGTTGTTAATATTGATTTATTTTCAGTGTGTAGTGTAAAAATATTGTTATTTCAGTATAACATTTAATCAGAATAATATTCTTTACATGAATGTGATGCGAACTTTCTTCGTATTTTCAAGTGATTATGCATATTTTTCTTATTAAACTTCGTACGCACTGACTCACTTTTCACTTTGAGCTGCAAGGGGAAACTGTCACTAAAATAAATTTAGTGACATATCTCATGACGATAATTTCTGCGAATAGTCATAGCCAAACTGACTGTAATCATGATGGTTTGTGAGGTAACATATGCTTCTAAACATTCGAAATCTGAACGAGACATTGCATTCATTTTCACCGACAAGTTTTTATCCATCACAAGACACATTTCAAGCTCTGTAAAGTCTTCTGGTAGCAAAAGGTAACATAACCGTCTGTCAAGTATCAAGAGCAGTTAACAGAACATTCGGAGCACTATCATTTTTAAATTTGACATCAAAACAGTACGAACAATTTGAAAAAGAACTAACGAGAATCTATTTACATCAGAGTGTGATGTACAATAACTCCCTAAAGAAACTATTCCATTGACCTATTCGTAAGGACTTTTCGCATGTATTTGATTGCGATAGAAATTTTTTGATATGATGCACCTCACTGAGATATAAACAAGCTGCATTCAAATTTTAAACTCCGTCTGAAGCCCTTCTGATGTTATTGCTGGTCCCAAGCCCGGATAAAGGATTAGGGTTGAAAATAGGGTTAGCAGCACCGTCCCGTAGAAAACCAAATCGTTGAAGAACGCTAATCAGAAAAGTCAATTAAAACCATTTAAATGTCGCTGGCATTTTCAAAGTCTTCATTTAGAAGAATTACGAAGTCTCATGAAGAATGCCGAGTTCTCTCGGAAGTCACGAGGCCGATGCCTCTTCTGACAACTAGACCAAACATTAATTTAGGTATAGAGAATGTTCAAACATTGTGGAAGACTGGAAGACGATTCCCAATCGATAATAAAACCACAAATAATTGAACAGATCAGCATGACCTTCAAATAAATCAAGAGCTCCAAACCATCAGGACCAGCCAACAAACCGACTAACGCACTGAAATCAGACAAAACAACAACTGCAAAGATACTCCACATTCTCTCCAGCAAGATTTGAGATGAAGAACAAGTGCCAATATTGCTGACAGACTTTAAAAAAGGACACCACATCAAGATACCAAAAAATGCGATCTTGGAAATAGTGGGAACTATAAAACCATCAATCCTCTCTCAATACCAGGAAAAGTATCCAATAGATTGTTGTTAAACAGGATGAAGGACTCCATAGATGCCCAATTTGCAGATCAACATGCTGGATTCCGTAAGGATAGATCGTGTACTGACCGCATTGCAACATTACAAATAATCGTGGAACAATCATTTGAATGAAACTAAGCACTTTACATCAACATCATTGGCTACGAAAAAGCATTCGACAGAGTGGACAGGACAAAACTGTGGAGTCTTCTTCGACACTACGGCGTGCCTGAGAAGATAGTCGACATTATACGGAATTCTTATGATGGATTCGACTGCAAAATCGTGCATGGAGGACAGCTGACAGACCCGTTCGAGGTGACAATCTGTATCAGGCAAGGTTACTTACTCTCATACTTTCTCTTTCTCCTGGTGATCGACTGGATTATGAAGACGTCAACATCTGAGTGGAAGCATGGGATACAGTGGATAACTAGGATGCAGCTGTAAGACCTAGATTTTGCTGATGATCTTCTATCCAACACGCAGTATCAAATGCAAGAGAAGACGACCAGTGTAACAGCAGCAGGTCTCAACGTACACATGGGTAAAGCAAGATTCTCCGATTCATCACAAAATGTTCCAACCAAATCACACTTATTGGCGGAGCATTCGAGAATGTAGATACCTTTACTTATCTGGGCAGCATCTTTGATGCAGATGTGGAGGTGCGAATCGGCAAAGAAAAGGTGGAATTCCTACAATTAATGAACAGCTGGAACTTGAAGTAACTATCACCAAACACCGATGTCAGAATTTTCAGTGCAAATGTCAAGATAGTTCCGCTGTGTGGGGCGGAAACACCATCAACAACAACCTACTGTGGGAGAGATCAAACCAGATTCCACTGGAGGAGGAAATCAGCAAGTAGATAGAACACACATTGCGGAAAGCACACAACTGCGTCACAAGACAAGCACTCACTCAGAACCCTTAAGACCAAAGGAAAATACGGGGGCCAAGGAACACCTTATGATGAGGAATGGGGACAGACATGGGAAGAATGAAAAAAAATTGAACTGACTTGGAAAGGAACAGAGTAGGCTGGTTAATGATGGTCGGCGGACTATGAATGTGAATGAGTGTGGATCATATAAAAAAATTAAAATATTCAAATTTCACTCAGATTCATTTTTGAGTGTCAAATAACTGCTTATTTGTTGAATTTGTATTCTTATTTATGTCATGGATGTTGTAGTATTTTCCATTTGCAATTATTACAACAGAAATATAGAAAAAAGTCATTAGAAATAGTGGAATACCTTTTTTGATTTAAAATAGTATATGACTAGATTGATAAATAAACCTTTTATTTCATTTCAAAAACAAAATAATATAACTATTGCTACATGGGAAAAATATCCTCAACCAATTAAAATAATTTCAGCTATTTATCTTTCAATAAATCCGTAGATGTAGCCAGTCAGAAACGTACTTTCAATTCATATAAACTGAAGATATTTATATCATTTAGCATGGAAATAAATTACAGAAATTCGACGACCATTTTTCGTAACATAACATTTTCATTTCTAATCTAACCATCATTTAACTATGTGTGATGCAAAATATGGCATTGTTAATACTATGTCTAATACGAATTCTATTGTAGATAAAATTGATGCAACTGCACTTGCACTTTCTTCTATTAGTATATGCCTTAATCCAATTTTATTATTATACATATTTGATGTCAGCATTGGAACACATTTTCTCGGTATATTGATCATGTTACAAATGACATTTGAATGGCTTGCTTCAGTTACTGGTATGTTTTATGCATTTTGTCCAAGCATCAAAACTGATCAATTATGGCTACGACTTATTGTATGTCATATGTGGACAAGTACATTTATGTACAATTTATTCATTATGTTTAGTAAATATAACTCTATGTCAATGTTGATAGAACGATGTTTTCACTTATTCCATCCAAATAAAAACATACTCGATTATCCACGAACCATATTTGCATCGTATTGTTTTGCAATGGTATACATTACAGCAATCAATTTGCGATTTACTGCTGTGGTACAAATGGATTCAAATGGTATATGTAGAATTGTTGGAAAAAATCAAACTGATGAATTTCATAATCAACAATTACTAGTTTTCAGTTATTTATGTCTAGTATTACTATTGATACTGCCAGCTATAGTCATGACAACATGTTACCTTTTAATGTTTATTCGTTACATTAAATTAAAACGTACAAATAAAAATTTCAGTGGTTTCAATTCATCTAATCAACAACATATTCTAACGTTACTTATAATTATTTGGTCTTTTGAATCAACAACAGCAAATATTTTAGATATGGTTGTTTTTTATTATTTTCAAAATTATCGTTACACTAATGTATCATTGATTATTTTTGCTACAACTGAACTTGTACGTATATCCTATTTTGTCAGTCGAACACTTAGTTTAAGTATTTTCATTCAACCTATTCGTGCGAAATTTATTGAACATATCACATTTATTACCGGTTCTTGTTTAAGAATAATTAAACGTTAATAAAAGAAACATCTTTTGTAAAGTGACGCAAACTGAACTATATAAATGGTAATCTTACTTATCGTAATATCTAATTATTTATTTATTTACTCTGATTCATATTAGATTAATTGTTGTAATTTTCAAACTGTTTTTATTTTTTCTTAAATGTGAAAACATAATATCTTGATGTTTTCAAATGAAGATTAAAAAATTATCTTTTGTTTTGAGTAAGTAAAAAGTGATATCTACAAGTTAAGAACTATGATTTTCATGTTTATGTTAAAGTTTAATGCCATAAATATAGATAATTTTCTTTTAGAAATTCCTTTGAATTTTGGTAAATTTTAGATCTTTCAAACTACTATTGTCGTGTACGCTACTTATGTTCACATAAGTAGTATATAATATCAAGCGGAAATCATACGTCTGACGGCAAAAGATCGAGAAGGAAAGAAGGCGAACAGAAGGCGATTTGTAGGTAACGTAAAGTGAACTGAAGTTTGAACAGTCTAAATGAAAGAACACTGAAATCTGAAACAAATAAGGATTAGTTTGCATATGATGATTTCACGGGAAGGTTTTGTACATATGCTTAACTACTGTAATATTCGCTTAAATATATATGTTCATGTCCTCATCTGAGTTTTCGTGTACAACACTATTATACATTTTGTGAATTGAATGCATTCACACTCGTAGTATATGCAAAACCGACTGTTTTACTTTCAACACTTAGAATAACATCCAGGATAAATATGAACACATAATACTGTAAAATGAAAAAAAGATAAAAACTTTCAAAATTGTCTATAGATTCTAGGTTCAATTAAAGCCTGAATTACTTACTGTTTACATGGCAAATTAATAGATGAAGCATTGAACCTTCTTCATTTGAGGTGGTTGGGACATGTGTTACGTATGCTCAACCACCGACTGCCGCGACAAGCTATGTTCTGTGGTGTAGGAGTAGGTTGGAAGAAAGCTAGGGGCGGCCAGACCAAAACATGGCACAAATCCATGAAATCACTGACAAGTAGACTGAGTCATGTCGCTAGACGTAGGCTACCTGGTTGGGGTCCTCGAGACGAAAGTCACCAATTGTTAGAGACCTTGAACGACATGGCTTAAAATCGTTTGCAATGGCGCAAGTGCATCCATTCGTTGTGCTCTCTCTAATTCTAACCTTCTGAACTCCTCATAATCTCTGTCTTTCTCCTTACAGATTTATCTCACTGAATTATACTTTTCGAATCATATCTTCACTCCCTAATCTTCTCCATTACTGCTAATAATTCTGCTATGGCTATCATGGATTTGAACTGACAGTTACGTCTCTGTGCTGATGTGGTATGGCAACTTGAACTGATGTACTTATGTACGAAGTTCTGCGTTGTATCTGTCTGTCTGTCTGACATGTGGTTTAGCACTTAGTGGTAACTAATTCACTCGCGATATTATTCTTCATGACCTTGAACATATTGTCATCCTAGCATATAACTACTATCTAGGTTAGGTATCTTTAGTCACACTGAAAAAAAGGAACTGTTTCTACATATCTAGATAATTTATCTCAAATTAGGCATCGTTAAATGTTTATTACTGAATAAATTGTTAATAGATGATAGAGTATGTATACTCAAATCAGGAGACTTCAATAGATAAAAGTAAATTCCTTTTGTAGTCTTATCAACATAAATTTTATAAAATGTTTAAACTATTACCAAAACCATTAAAGATAGAAAGAAATTTATAGTGTTAATAATAAAATGATTTGTATTTGTTTGTTCACATAAATAATTGCAAATATATAATAACAGAAACATTCATATTTGGCTTTGGAATTAATAACCAATATGAAGAGGCAATAAAACATTGAAAACAAATGATCCTTGAACAAAATTGGCCCTTCTGATTTTACTGACTGACTACATATAGATTATGTAAGTAAAAGTTTTTTATTTGTTTTGAATAAAAAATGAATTGTTTAGGCTACTAAAATAAAATGACTCTAATTCATTTTAATCCTAACAACCAATAAATTTTATTTTCATATCTCCATTTAATCTAAAGAAATAGCTTTATTTGAGCTTACAGAATATCGAGTAAATATTGGTTGACTGAATTATTCAGTTTTGTGTTCTCAAAGCTCTAGGCATAATATCGCATTCAATTTTCTCGATTGCATGAAACTACACATTTTTTCAATTTAGCATCCTGGCTTTCCTAATAACTCACCAATTTCAATAAAACCTATAGAAATTTGATTGGCATAATGATACCACCAAGTGATTTAAGGCAACTAGGTCCTTAAGTAATTTCATTCAGAGTAATGAAAAGACAAATATTATCAGAATAGCACTGGCTATTATATAACAAACATCTCACCTGATAAATTTAAGTCAGCATCTAATCAGATATCCAGTTTATACTGTACAGGAATATGTAAGGCAGTTAAACTTATTTTCACTTATTCATTTTAATTGGTCAAACATGTGAAATAAATAAGCTTTATCTCATCAATATTTTATTTGTTTTAAAATACTTTGATTTTTTTGTAGCTGCAAAGTATAAAAACTCATGATTATCGTTTCATCGGTTTATCCGCGTAGGACGATTGATGCAGTCTGAATTAAATAATTTCCAAGCTCATTAACACAACACTTGTCTTAACTTCCCAAATATCATATGTAGGAGCGGTCTTTAGACTGTTAGAATCAGAAATTAAGTAAAGTATCAATCAGACTATCAGATAGGAATTTATAAAGTGATATGATAATTAAAATTCCATACATTGCAGCTCGTTGGAAGTTATTAAGGTATCTATCAACTGCATTCAAGATCCTAAAAGTGTACTTAATTTCCTAATTACATCTGGGCCAATATAGCAGAACCCGGAGCTATTCATGAAGGTTTATGTAATAATGTATTTCACACAATCAGCATAATGTTAAGCAGCAAACAGACCAAACATAATCTGGTATTTAAATCCGAAAGATAAATAAAATAAAAAATATTTGCCAAAGTTTCATTTAAATTTCAGAGAATGCATGATATGACATCTTATATTACACAGTGACTTTCCAGATTTATTGTAATTTTCAATACCCATGTTTTATGCCGAAACTGGTAGTACACTTTCGAAATAATGTCCAGATTTACCTACCATTGAGATTTGATTTGTAGCTACCATTTAAATCTCTCTATATATATATATCTTCATTCCAGCAAACATAAAAACAATGTTTTTTTTTTACAGAAATACTTTTATACTTTTGTTAAAACATGGTGATCAGTTGCTTTTCTTCTGTTTTCTTTTGTTCATCTATTCTGCCTTCTTTCATAATGAATTTTCTATACACCTTCTCCTCTGTTATTCATCTTCCTTATTTCTTTCCTCTTTTTTTTTCTATTACTTTTTTTTCATTTTTATTACTGGAATCATTATCTTCAACCTACATTTACTACAAATTCTGTATGATGAACATAGGATTAATAATCTAGATTTCATTTTTAAGTTTCTCTTATTATAAAATCTTTTTCATAAACATTTATACTTATGTTCTACTTTTTAAATGATTGTCCTTCTCAATTATATTGAACTTGTTAAACAAATTGTCATTCAATATCATTGAAACTTTTGTAAGTAGTTGTATATTTTGATGAAATTGGAAATGTTTTATTCACAGCATTTATCTATGAATAAGTTATTCAAGAGTAATAAATATCATAAATAAAGCTTTTACGAAATGAACACTGGCCCAGATAAGCATAGTTTTGTGTATGAGTTTGAGCGATTCTCGATCGGATCTGCACACCAACAGGAATTACAACAGCATACAGAGAATCTTCATTCGTTTAAATTGCAGTCGATCTGTCTACTACACTTAATTCATTACATACAAATTACTCAATAGTTTCCTAAACTTCCACATTATTTGATGCTTTGGGAAGCAAACAGCGAAAAACATCAACAGAAATTTACAAGCAATTTAGGTATTGATGGTATTATAAGAGATTGCGACACGGAATGATCTTGTAAGTTCAGCATTTTTATGAAGTCAAGTACGAGTAAGTTTACTGGTGGATGGTCAGTGAAACAAAATATTCCGTTATCAATTATTTCTCCCATAATAACTCCTCGGTGTGTCTCATTGACAATATTCAACTTTTCCCTAAAAAATGGTATGGGTTGTTTGCTCAACGGTTTGTTTAGATCATCCTATATTGTTCTCCGATTAAATGTAACATTTGAGACAACCTCAAACTTCAGACAGACACACAGCATCTACTGGCTTTGAAATAATTTTTATTTTCGAACTAAAAAGTAACCTCTTCTTTGCAAATGCGTTTAAGATATGAGCATCAAATTATCCATGGCATTTGTAACAGCTCCATCTCTTTTTGTACTCTTAAGTTAGTGGTGAATCAAATATAAAGTTTGTTGCTTCTAAATACAAATGAGAGTTTAACTTATCTCATTACTGTTATAAGAATTTAAAGTAATCAAACACTGAAAGATCACAAGCTTCATTTTACCAACATGTCATGTTTCTTTCGTACTGTCAAATAGCTCCAACTTATATCTGTTATCCATGTTTTTGCTCTCAACGAGACCGTTTTTACAGTCCACATAGTTGATTTGAGTGCATGTAATTATGTCAAATTATGTAACTGGAAGAATAGACTCAAATTTTAAAAAATGACACTGTGATACATTCAGTAAATATTTCTTGCTGTTAGAAGCAAATAAATATAACAATCCCACAAGAAAGGTTAAGCAATAACATTGAATGAATTGGTTTTGTTTAATGCATAACAAGCTACTTACAGATGGAGAAAACTAAGTTGAACGTCACATAACTCAGAAAATGAATTTATTTGAATACTGTAAGCTATTAATAGTGTATGATCTACACTAAGGTTTACTGAGCTATTAGCCGTTAATGTTAGACAATTTATGACTCACTGTGTCATCGATAAGTTCAAAAAATCTTGGTTAACCAACAAGCCTGCTGCAC